CCTACCTCATAGATTACTTCCTCCAGACCAACCACAAGAACCTCCACTAAATAATGAAACTGAACTATCAACGGAGCCCAAAAGGGATAGGGAAAGAGAAAAAGGGCATGTGCAACTATACAACGATTATTTCGCGAATAATCCAGTGTATAACGACAACCAATTCCGACGTAGATTCCGTATGCAACGGTCATTGTTCTGCCGCATTATGAGCAAAGTGGTTGAGGGGGATCAATTCTTCCAGCAACGTCGAAATGCAGCTGGGAAGCTTGGTTTATCACCGTTGCAGAAATGCACCGCTGCAATAAGAATGTTAGCGTATGGCGTAGCCGCAGACGCTGTGGATGAATATTTACGTCTCGGCCAAACAACCTCTAGGCAGGCATTGCAACATTTCTGTCAAGGGGTTATTTCACAATTTGAAAGTGAATATCTACGAAAACCTACAGATGAAGGTTTAAGGAGAATCCTTCATCAAAATGATCTGCGTGGTTTTCCAGGGATGATTGGTAGTATAGACTGCATGCATTGGGAGTGGAAGAATTGTCCTACTGCTTGGAAGGCACAATATGCTGGTCGTAGCAAGAGTGCAACTCTCATTCTTGAAGCTGTTGCTGATCAGGATCTATGGATTTGGCATGCGTTCTTTGGAATGCCTGGGTCATGTAACGATTTGAATGTCCTTTACCGTTCACCGGTATTTGATGATGTTTTACAAGGTCATGCACCACCCATAAATTTTACGGTTAATGGACATCAATATGAGTTGGGCTACTACTTGGCCGATGGGATTTACCCGAGATGGCCGACTTTTATACAGGGTATAACACATCCTCATGTTAGAAAAGACAAGTTGTTTGCTGATCAACAAGCAGCAGTTCGGAAAGACGTCGAACGGGCTTTCGGAGTTTTACAAGCTAGGTTCGCTATACTACGACAACCAGCACTTGCATACGACGAAGATATTCTCTGTGTTATTATGAAAGCCTGTATAATAATGCACAACATGATCGTCGAGGATGAACGACACAACTACGCACGTGCAGATGTTTTGAGACGATACTACGAAGAAGATCGACCACAACGTACGGTGAGGCGGGCAGACCCGAGCACAAGTGCCACGGTGTTTAACAACGAGCCATTTGAATTCAACGTCGGGCGACCACCCAACATTGATTTCAACACGTATTTGGAGAGAAGGATTTCCCTTCGTGATAGAGAAATTCATTCATCTCTGAAACAAGATTTAGTGGAGCACATATGGCAGAACTTTCGTCATAATGCGGTTGAATAAATAATTTTTTAGTTTGTTATTTGTAACCGTATCGTTATTTATGTTTTAATACTCGTGTTTGTATTTTATTTTAGTAGAACCACTTTTATCTAGTTCGTACTTGTACCGTTATTTAACATCCCATGTGTTTGTATTACCGTTATTGAAGTTCCCATGTGACTATTTAATGTGTTCATTACAAAAATGTGCTACTAATTCAAATGTTAAATTATAAATAAAACGTAATTGAAAAATAAATAAAAATTATTAATTATAATTAAAACGTAATTGACAAATAAAAAACAATCTTATTAAGTTATAATTGAAACGTAATTGAAAAATAAATATAAAAATTATAAATTTTTATTATATTATTTTTAAACGTAATTGAAAAGTAAATATAAAACTTATAAATTGTTATTAAATTATACATTTTTATTAAATTATTTTTAAATGTAATTAAAAAATAAATTATTTTCACATATTTTAATTGTATTGGAAAATTAAATATGTAGTATAAACATTATTTCAAAATAAAGATAAAATAAAAAGATGATGTGTATTATGGGGGGGTATAGTAAATAGTGGAGGAAAAAGTGATGAGAGGTTTTTTTTTCTCCTCATTGATGTAGTGAAAAAAACATTTGATGAGAGAAATTGTATGGGAGGAGTGAGAAAGTGGGTAGAGAGAGATTGAGAGGTTTTTTTTTTCCTCACTGCTGATAGTGGTCTAATGTACTTTGTATGTATGTAATTAGTAAAATTGAAATATTTTATCAAAGTTGATGAACTATATAACCTCAATTAGTAGTATTGTTTAAATATTGATGGCGTAGGATCGGATATGCCAAAAACTAGAAAAATTGCTAACCTCCCCCCTTCTTTAAAAGTAATAAAAATTACATACGTACTATGTTAGATTCATACTATTTTAATTTGGACATACTAGTTTCTTATTTATTTATTTATATATTTTAATTAACAAAAACAATAATAAATTGAAAAATTCAGCAATACGCAATGTCAACGACTCTTGTACTAAAATGGGGGTTGACCCAATTTTAATTCGTGGCTTAAATACAAAACTAGTACATGTATTGAGAAAACAGTTATGAAAATGGACCACCAAACCATACTAAGTTTGTGGCAAAAATAACTAATTTTATGTTATTTGACTTAATACATTATTGTTATAACGAGGCCTTAACAAAAGAGGTATTCTTGTTCACTAACTTTTGATGCAGTTGAACATAAAATTAAATAAGAAGAAATATAAAGTCATTAGGTAAACAAACTCACTACTCATTATATACCTTAAGTTTTCATTTGGAAATTCAGCCACTCCATATTAAACCCTCATGAAGAAACAGTTTAGGTATTTAAATTGGACCAATCAAATAGATAACCAAAAATTTTAAGTGGATTTGTATAGATAATAACCAATTAACTAAACATACTAAAGAGTTTTAGGTGATTATAAACACTGTCATGAGATTTTTTTTTATTTATTTATTTTTTTCAGCTAATTAATACTATGTGTGAGTGTGTTAATGTGTTTTTAACCCAAATTTATTTATAGGCACTGATGCACATAGATACTTGGTACATTACATGTTATTTACAAACACTAGGGTGTATAAATGTATATTATATGTTACATGCGCTCTAATGTGTAATAGAGGTTCTACAAATACAAAGGGTGTTATCTTGATCAGAAAGTTATTCAAATATATAATTGTTTTAATAAATTTATATATGATCTTTGATATTTAGAAATATGACTGTATTTCCATAGCATACTTCCTCAAAGAGTAATTTTTTTTAGTTACAACAGCTTTCATTTCACATTTGTCAATGCATTATTTCAATTACTCACAAGTCATATTTTTAAATATCAATAGGTTGGTAAAGAATATTAAATTATGAACAATATACTCCATCCGTTCCACAATGTTCCTACTTTGACCAAATTTGTCTCAAAAAAAATTATAAACATGAACTATAAACATAATTGTGGAACAGAAGAAGTATAAGAAAAGACAATTTTAACAAAACTACACGTGCTTAATCTTTTGTTAACTACAATCAATTAAATTAGTTAAAATAGAGTCAAAGTGTAGCAAATAAAAGGAAACGAATTATAGAAGGAGAAGCATATTCAAGGTTGATAACAATTTTCAAGCAATGTACTTTCAAAATCAAAAATAATTTCAAGCAGACACTAGCATTGACCCATTGACTGTCCCAGATCCAAAGAAGATGGGCTGTCAAACTTATCAAGCCCATTTAGTCTGGCCCAAACAATCATATTCTTGGTTTGCCTAAAGCCCATTAAGCCTAGCTTGAGATTTTCTCCCGAGTCCAAAAAACGAGATCGAAACAATGGCCATTGAATTCGCCAAGAAACGAAGCTGCACATTTTTTATTGACTACTGATGTTTAGCAGTTTAGATTAGATGTTGTGATCCTTGTGTGATTAATTATTCACTCTGTTTCCTTAAGTTTAACTCGTATTTTAGGTTTTACTTATTGTTACTCCTTACGGCCTTACGGGTTTTTTTTTTTAAAATGTATTACTACTACTTTCTTCGTCCTAAAATATGTGGGACGTTGAACTTTTTTCCCTATTCATTATTAACTTTGATTATAATTTTTTACTATTATAATAAAAAAAAATTATCATAAAATACGTTGGTCCATATGTGTTAATATAAAATTTCATTATATGATTTTTAAAATAATTTTTATCACTATTCATAATAATAATAATAATTTTTATTAATATTTGATTATATATATTTAAAAAAAAAAAATCAAACTAATGCATTGACATGTGTGTAAAGTTGACAGTATCAGATATTTTGGGACAGAGAAAATAGTATATAAATTTATTAAATCCAACTAGACATGACCGTGATTTTTTTCTTTTTTTTTTTTAAACTAAAAAGATCAAAGTGGAGAATGAATATATTTGTCAAACATTAAAATGATAAATGATAAATAAAAAGAAAAATGCATGTTTAATGAGCAAGCTTCAAATCAATCAAATTGAAATGACTTTTGATGATGGATGAACGGTTGAGAAACTTAAATTCGAGAACAATGTTGAGAGTGATGACTTTATTGTGGTAGATGATGAATGAAGTGAAATGAGCTTCAAAAATGACACCTTGTTTCACTTGTTTTATTTCTTTGAATTTGATTTTGCAAGGTATCAATCATATGATTTTATTATTGATACGTTGTATTTTTATTATTTTGCATTATAAAAGTAATGTACAATTATAGTTAACTAAGGAGCGAGAACAGTTCAGAATCTCTCATAAGTCCACCCGACCTGAGTTAACGGGTCAAGCCTTTAAGAGTGGGTGGGGCCGTGGGGAAAAAGGGAATCCCTCATTCCCTCCCCTAAAGAGGTTTATAATTCCATAACCTCATGGTTGTGTGATACAAACTTTCCACTAGATCAATCCTTGTTTTATATGATTAGGCATAAGTAGGATTACATACGAGTAGTCGAGTACATAACAATATGGCATAGTGAAGGCATTTTTTTTATTATTTTAAGTGATAAGACGGGGACTTGTTTATAGGGAAAGATTTCTTATTAATTGTTTGTTTCTCATGAATTTGATCCCTATATCTCAGCAGGGATATAAAGTGATGTCACTACTTTACCACCTCAACCTCACATAGTTTTTTTTTTTGAGGGAAAGCGGTTAGTGCATTAATTCAAAGAAAGTGTATCCAAAAGTACATACGGGGAAATTTCATCTGGAACGAGAAATTCCCATAATTGTTCACGACCATACGACACTAACTTAGCTAAGTGATGAGCAACGAAGTTACCCTCACGCTTCACATGAGACCAAAAAATGGAAGAAAAGTTCGAACTAACAGCAATTATATCTTCCAACACGCAATCCACCGATGCCAAGGAGAAGGTGTTCTTCTTTATTTTGGAAACTAGCTGCAAACAATCTGCCTCAAGAATTACATCATTGTAGCCCTGGTCCCTCACCTTCCGTAGCCCAAAAAGGGCAGCCTTGCTCTCAGCAATCAAGGGCTCCCATCGCGCTCTCACCCTGCTAACTATCGAGAACAGAACCCGGCCCCTGCTGTCGCGAGCTATAACACCAAGCCCCACACATCCTTCATCAGAAATTGAAGCATCCACATTGATCTTCACTACACTAGATGGAGGAGGCATCCATGTTGTTCTTCCAGCAGGTTCATTCGGAGGAGAGGTGCCCCCATAAATCTTCTCTGTATACTCACCATAGTCAACTACCAGTCTACTATGACGGAGGAGGAGAGCCTCATCAGCATCCCAGGCATTTTCGAAGACCCATTTGTTTCGTCGAAACCATATAAACCAAGAAAGGAATAAGCTTCTCTGATAAACCTCTTTTGAGAGATGTTCTGCCCATTTCAATAAGATCTCTCCAAAAGAATCAGAATTCGCCAAGTTGAGAGCTTCCCTACATCCACTATTCAGCCATAACTGATGCGCACTCGGGCACAAAATAATCGCATGGACAGTCGTTTCATCAGCCAAATTGCAGCAGGGACAGAGAGGGTCTTCAATGAGATGGCGATGCTTAAGAAGACTACGGGTAGGCAGGGAATTGGAGCAGCAACGCCATAGAAAATGACGTACCTTTGGGGTAGTCTTAACATTCCAAATCTCAACCCAAAATTTGTCAAAATCATCCAAATTTAGGGAAGAACCTAGCAAGTATGCAGATTTTACCTCATAGTATCCATCCTTAGACCATGCCCATGTGATGGAGTCATTTGGCAGACGCCCACTAATTGGGATTGCTAAGATAGATTGCTTGTCTTAGTCATTAAAGATCTCCAATTTCTCCAAATTCCAGCAGCACCCCTCCACATCAATCAACTTTGCTACTTTATCACATAAATCGGACCTGCTAGCAGTTGTAGTAAAACGACTGTCAACATTAACAAGCAATGGGTCGTTCCATATATTAATATTACGGCCATTTCCAACCCTCCACAGTAAACCTTCCTTCACAAGAGCCTTAGAACTCCATATACTCGCCAAGAGTAGCTCAAAACTGGACCAAGAGCAGCCTCAAAAATGGACATCTTCGGATAATATTTAGCCTTCAAAACCCGGCTAACAAGAGAGTGATCATTTGTAGCAAGACGCCATATCTGTTTACCAAGAAGGGCTACATTAAAAATCCCCAAGTCCCTAAACCCCATTCCCCCAAGGAACTTCAGTTGACATAGTGCATCCCAACTCTTCCAATGAATTTTTCTACCCTTCTCATTCGACCCCCACCAAAACCGAGCCATCATACTATGAATCTCATTAATCAAATTGCTTAGGAATCTATACACACCCATAAGATATGTTGGAATTGCTTGGATAACGGACTTCAAAAGCACTTCCTTCCCGGGTCTCGACAACAACTTTTCTTTCCAACCTTGAACCTTCTTCCATATCCGATCTTTAACAAATGCAAAAACCGCTTTCTTCGATCTCCCTATCTTAGTTGGCAAACCAAGATATTTCACATGGCTCTCCACCATTTTCATACCAAGTACGGAGCTAAGAGTGATCCTAGAAGGCAATGGAACCCCTTTACTAAAAGATACTTCTGACTTCTCTAAATTAATCTTTTGCCCGGAAGTTGCTTCGTATTTGTTGAGAATATCAACAATGACGGAACATTCCTGTCGAGTAGCTCTAGTAAAAAGGAGAATATCATCTGCAAAAAACAAGTGAGTAATCTCGGGGCCATTCCTACTTGCCCGAACTCCATGGATCAATTTCCTCTCCGAAGCCAACTGTAACATTCTAGAAAGGACATCAGAAACTAGAATGAAAAGATAAGGGGAAATAGGATCACCTTGACGAAGACCCCTAGATGGAATCAGATCGTTTAAGGGAACCCCATTGATGTTGAAAGAGTAGCTAACTGTGGATACGAAAGTCATAATAGTATCCACCCATGCTCCGGCAAACCCCAACTTAGTCAACAACCTTCTCAAAAATTCCCACTCCACCCGATCATAAGCCTTACTCATATCCAGCTTCTTTGCAATCGAACCCCTGCGACCTTTCGATCTCTTCTTCATGGTATGAAAGAGCTCCAAAGCAATAAGAGCATTATTAGTAATTAACCGTTTGGGAACAAAGGCACTCTGGTTTTCTGTGACCATCCCATGGAGAAGAGGTTTAAGTCTATTAGCCACAGATTTTGAGGCTAATTTGTATAAGACATTGCATAAGGAGATTGGCCGAAATTGAGCAATGCTAGTAGGATCTCTGACTTTCGGGATAAGAGCAACATTAGTACGATTAACATGAGACATCGACACTCTACCAGAAATAATATTATTAACAAATAGAGTCACATCATCACCAACAATATGCCAATATTTCTGGTAAAAAATAGCATGTAAACCACCAGGGTCTGGGGCCTTACAAGGACTCATTTGAGAGAGGGCAGCAAAAATTTCATCTTTAAGGTAGGGGCGACTTAAAGAAAGATTCATACCTTCAGATACTAAACTCGGCACATTAGCAAGGACCTCATTAAGCAAATTATCATCGATCTCGCCACCAGTGAACAAAGAGCCATAAAAATCAAGAATAATTTTTTCCACATCATGTTTACCAGTACGCCAATCTCCATTTGAATCCATGAGCCCTCTGATTCGATTCTTGCTCTTTCGTTGAGACGCTTTATGGTGAAAATATTTAGTGTTGCGATCCCCGTCTCTAATTTCTGATACACTTGAACGAAGGAACCAGTACGCCTCGTTTTTCTCATGAAGGTCATCAAGCATTGCCTCTAATTTATTACACTCATCAAAGTTTGACTGAGAATTCGAACGAAGTTGGGCCTCCTTGAGTGCATCTTCTGCCTCGGAAATCTTCTCACCCAGATCATCAAATGAGTCTTTACTCCATCTTGTCAAATCATTTGCTACTGATAACAATTTGTTCGACATATCGAGATGACTAGCTCCACTCCAAGAGTCTCTAATGACGTCCTCAATGCCCTCAGCAAGTAACCAACAAGTTTCAAACCGAAACCTTTTCTTCATATTTTTCTTCTTCTTGCGTTCCTTAGAGTCAGTATCAAGGAGAATTGCCACATGATCAAATTTAAACTTCGTCAAGTGTGTCACATTTGCCTCACTGAACCATGCGCACCACCTAGTACAACCCACAAATCTGTCCAGTATTTCACGTACTACCTCCCCAGCCGGAGTGCCTCGTTCCCAAGTAACCCACGACCTCTCATAGCCAAGGTCACGTAAGCCACATTCGTCAAGCACCTCCCTAAAAGAGTCTATAACCCGCTGTTCACGCATAACACCTCCTGTCTTCTCATGATGCCCAAGTATCTCGTTGAAATCACCTCCAAGAACAATAGGATAAGGTGAGTCCAAGTAGAGGTCACGTACAAGAGCCCATGTTTTACACTTCAAGGCCTTATCTGCTCAACCATAAACACCTATAAGTCTCCAAATTCGACCCCCAACTTCCTTCACATCCCCACAAATATGATGGTCCGAAAAAGACACTAATGAAAAATCCACCCCTTCCCTCCAATACACGCATAAGCCACCAGATTTACCTCTACTGTCAACACCAACTGACATAGAGAAATTAAATTTCGTTTTTAAATTTTCAGACTTATGTTTGCTAATCATCGTTTCAGACAAGAAAATAATATCCGGGAAAATACCTCTACTCCAATGGCGGAGTGCACGAATTGCACGAGAGTTGCCCGCTCCCCTGCAATTCCAACACAAAATTTTCATTGCTTTTCAGGGGGTTGGCTCAATCCAACTCCCCTTACTTGATTTATCCCGTCTCCGGCAAGTACCAAATTTTCAAGTTTCTGTTTTTTAACAATTTGAGTCTCTGATATCAGCAAGTCATCAGGCACCTCTTCCCTCAGATTTCTTTTCTGTCCTGTCCCCTTCATATTACCACCCTTAAGAGAGCTATCTATCACCCCTTCAAAACTACTAACATTTCTCCTTTTAAATTTCCTTTTAACACCAACTGCCTAATTCGGATTTTCCACCAGATCATGCTCCATCTGAGACACCTCATCTTCCATCCTCTCAATCGCCACTGTAGCTGCATTCTCTTGTGGTACATCGTGTTCCTCACTAGTCTCCTCAGCAATATTGTCACTGCCACCTTCCCCAACAACACTCTTTAGTCGGCACTGCCTTTTGAGTCTTCGAATCAACAACCTTGACTAAGGAAGCTTCACGGGGGCGGGGTGGAGGAAATTGTAGCTTTCTAGCAACACCCGGGGGTCCTAACTTAACAGCATCCGGGTCATTGTAGCTTGGGATACGAACCTTTCTAGCAGAGGTCAACCTCTCTTTAAGCTTCTTCTCCCTCTCAATCTCAGAAGCAGGTTTGCGAATGGTTTTCCTTGGGGACGCTCGCAACCAAGGGCCATATTGATACACTATTTCAGCATTGGTTTCGCTAGCCTCATCTTTGTAAGAACAACTTGAATCGGTGTGATCCAATCTTCCACAGAAAAAGCAAAATTCATCCAGACGTTCGTACTTTAGCGTCACCCACTTAGAGCTTGCGGTACCTACTACCAAGAATAGGCCCCTTCTCAGAGGCTTTCCTACATCGATCATCACCTTCATCCTCACAAACTCGCCCCAACCTAAAGGATCCGTATCATCAATTTCCAGGAACGTGCCCAGGAAATCACCAATTTCGATCAATGTCTTCTTGTTCCTTTTGCTGAAAGGAACATCCACCAATCGCACCCACATAGGGGCATGGTGGAAAAAAACTTCAGAGGGTTGCTCTTCACCGTTTATCTCCCTAATGACAATTAGTTTCCCATCAAAGAACCATGGGCAACCATCGAGGACCATCTCTCTGTCAGCCTCACTATAGAATTGGGAAACAAAAAGGTTTGGCTCCAACATCTTAATCGAAACATTATCGTGTAACTTCCAAATCGAGATCAAAGTTCGTTTCATAGCCTCAACATTAAAGGGCTTAGAGGTCAGAAGTTTTCCTACCAACGAAAGAGCAATTTGATTATTTGAATCATCATCGTCAACAGAATTCTCACCAATAACTTTCGACTCGTCATCCGTTAATCTAATTTTCTCAAAATCGTTCGGTAAATCCTCTACCATGGTGAGAATAGAATTTGCAGGGGAAAGCAGGAAGATTAAGCAAGAATTGAATGATTGAGATCAAGGAAATCAAGAAAACGTAGCAAACCCTAGGCGAGGGACATACGAACCCTAGACGAGGGACTAATTATTGTTAATTTGAAATGAAATAGGTTTCAACCTCACATAGTTAAAAAACACTGGGTTATGCTATATACAATATACTTCTGTACTATATAGACAATATAGTACTCATAGCACTTAATATTGTATTGATATTTCTATTAAACATTTAGTGTTATATTGATATCTAATTTTATTTTGTTTTTGTCTTATTTTCTACCCTTTTGGGCATTTGGCCCATGTTATACCAAGTATGGAGTAGCATTAACTCCGGAATGGACAATGGAGTATTATGTGCATTACTTGTTTTGCCAATCGTAGGAAGCACCCTAAATACATACAACAAAGTAGGTAGAAAATACAAATAATATTTGCTTGGTGGTTGGAAGTTTGGAATTTAAGAGTCGATTCAACTAAGGGCTTGTTCACTTTAACTTGATTTCAGTTCAGTCAGTTCAGCTCTAATCATTTCAACTCCTTAAATCCTTCTCTTATAAAGTATTCATTTTAGCTCAGTTCAGTTCAGTTAAGCTACAATCAGTTTAGTTCAGCTCAGTTTAATAAATGTGAACAGGCCCTAAGTACATGTGTTCAACTTTTTAATTTCTAAAACGTTGGTAAATGAATTAGGGTATGTGAAGTTAATTGGTTGTGAAATTTAGCCATAAGCCAAAATTGTTTGATCCTAAGCTTACTATAACTCACATACATCCATAGCAGTTTGATTAGTACAATAGTACCCTATTCTAGTACTTATTTGTCATTTTGCATGTTCAAGTGATGAAACAACTACAAGCTTTTAGTGGATTTTAAACCAAAAAGAAACCCTCAAGTACGAACCATTAATACAATTGTGCCAAATGGTTTGGCCTCTCATAGTATTTCTTAGCATCTAATGCAACTACCTAGTTAAACAATTATGATGACGCAATAAATTATTGGGCATCGACTATCATAAGCCTTATTTTTTATTGGGCCAATTCTCTTTAAATTGAACATAATGTCTAAGTCATTGGCTACAGAAACAACAATTATATATATTGATAGTCAAATTATGTCTCCAAAACCATTAAAAAAAAATATTAATGCCAATTAGGTAAAATTGGTTTTAATAATCCCAATTTTGATCAATTTTCTTTGAACAACCTCAACTTATATAGGTATTTTTTTTTATAATAATTTAAACTTTTATTATTATTATAAATAATAGTCCCAAAAGGAATCAGCAAAAGCAACAAAAATAACATTTTGAATTATTTTAAGAAGATACTTATATAAGTTGGGATTTTTTTACAAAAATAATCAAAATTTAGGATTATTTAAAGAAAATCAGTCAAAGTTGAGATTATTAAAATTAAGTTTTCCAGCCAATTAATTTGGAACTAAATATTTCTTATATCATACGTCACTTGACAAACTCATAAAGCTACGGAAATGACAATGATATAAATTTATTTTCCAAAACCATTAAAACAAGAATTTATACTAACTAATTGGGAACTGAATATTTCTTATATCATACATCACTTGGCTAGCTAGCTAAGGGCCTGTTCTCATACAATTATTTTTAGTTCAGCTCTAATAAGTTCAATTCAGCTTTAAGAAGTTCAGTTCAGTTCAGCTTATAATTTTTAACTATTATAAACTATTCATTTCAATTCAGTTAAGTTCAGCTCTAATAAGTTAAGTTCAGTTCAGTTCAGTTCATTTCAGTTAATGAGAACAAGCCCTAACTACTCTAAAAATTCTGAAGAGAGAAAAAAAATTGTGTACCAAACTACCAATACAATTATACAAGGAGTCAAGAACTACTAGTATGATTTAATTTGTAAAATTAATTAGTTGGGTCACAAAGAAAAAGATATAAAATTGACAAATTGCATGCACCCTAGAAAAACATATGCCAGCACACCATTTCACACCAAAAGATTTGTGGTTGTGCAGTTTCTGCATAAATCCCAAGGGGCCCCTTTAAATAGAATTGGTCCAAGATTTTATTAGTAGGTATTCGTACATAAGTAGTATGTATAGACTGTAAAAGTCTATGATGTTGATGTTTGCTATAATACTGCTATCGTTATACGTACAGAACAGGTCTATCAAGAGTACAGCTAAATCTTGCTGCAAAACTTTAGAATTTTTATTTGTATTTTACAAATTGTTGTGACCAGGTATTTGATTTTAGTGTAATAAATTCGATTGAATATGAGATATCTAAACTCGTCTTAACTTACAAGAGCAGGTTACACTTGTTAATTGAACATTGTACCACGTAACATTTGTATGGACAATAAAAGGATGACCAAAGAGCTGAGTAAAGGTTGTTGTTAGGAAGAACACATAAACCAAATGCGTAACACAAGAAGCAACATAAGAGTAGGAGTACCTAAATGGACAACACAAAGGCAGGTAGAAGTGTGCAATGCAGACTAACAAGTCACCGAAATAACTGGTATGGAAGGTCGTTGTACATGTGTGTCTAGGCCGTGTGCACCACCACCAAAAGGCTACCCCCTTAATTTGATGTTGTGTAGTGGCCTCTATTATTATAGTTGCTTCGATTAGGTTTACCTACTAGTTATACTTCGTATAAAAGATGGTTTATTAGAGGCTTTTATGTATATAGTTAGAAAAGATTATAATTACTGGCATCTCTAGCTCTAAAGAGTTTATTTGTTGTTGTTATTGTATACACATGTAACAATTTTATGTTACATTTATATTTAATTGTTTCAATTAAGTTACGAGTGCCTTTTGAAAAAATTTCTCACGGTGTTTTATGAGAAGGTGAAAAAGTTTTGTTTCGCATCGAAAAAAAAAATAACTGTGTACGTAATCAATTTACTGAAAATTTGAACTAATCTCATCACAAATTAGATATATTGTACGTAGATGAATGCACGACCAACAAGCACAGGTCGCCAATTGATTGGCTTGACTCATGCTCATTATGACTTAGGGCTTGTTCTCATTGACTGAACTGAACTGAACTGAACTGAGCTGAACTGAACTGAACTGGACTGGACTGACTGAACTGAAATGAATATTTTATAAGAGAAGGAAATTAGGAGCTGAATTGAACTGAACTGAACTGAACTGAATTTCAACATAAGAGAACAGGCCCTTATTTTTATTGGTTCATTAAAAAAAAAAAAAAAAAAAAAAAAAACTCCAATTCTATGAAATTCTTCAATCATATTACTCCAATCCACATTTAACTTGGTTTATAATAGTCACAATAATATGTTATCCACTTAATAGAATTCTTTCCTTCATATTCTCCACTTCTTCAATTTTGTCAAAATGCTTAAAAATTCATTAGTAATGTCAGATAATGTAAACTCCTTGATCAGAGTGATTTTCATTGATCAATATTTATAGGGTTACAATGAGAAACCTAATCATATTAGGTAACATAAGATATGTATAGATATCAAAGATAATCTAATACAAAATATATCCTAAACCTAAGATGAGAATATTCTATGGATATTCTCTATCACACCCCCGCAGTAGGAGCGGGAGAAAATCGGATTCTCAGACTGGAACTGAATCACGCATCGAGCGGTAATAAAGATAGTATGGTAACCCATGATCAAAAGGGAAGTAGTAGACATGTGCCAGTGATGACGTTGAGAAGCAACAACCACGACCTACGTAGAGTAGAGATAAGCACTGCTAGGCCGGAGGAGGAGAAGAGTCGCACACAGACTTAGGCTAAGTTGCAGATCCAAAGAAGAAGAAGCTAAGGGATCAAACCATCATCGGGGAGAAGACACTACACTACTACGTGAAGTCACAATTGAAGAAAAACAAATAAAATTGCACAAGAAAAATATTAAATTCCACCGCTTGAAATTAATCAATTCTCAAAAGAGAAACCTAGGTAGCAAGAATCAATACTCCACAAAGATTCTAAGTGCTGCAACAATAAGAGGAGCCAACTTGATAGCAAAAGAGATGTGCAAAAGTTGACCTTATTCTAGTATACCACCACCAAAACAAAATTTATGTGATTATGTGTAGAAAAACCAATGGGACAATGTAAGAATTATTGTTGGTCATGAGGAGGTGGAAATAGAGTGCGGCACATGGAGTAGGTTGGCAAAAATTGGTACTGCCAGTAGTGGGAGGCGGTAGTGTATGCGATTGCCACCAATGATGGAGGCGGCTTTCGCGGTTGCTACTATCGGTGAGAGGCGCAAGGCTACATAAAGATTCTAAAAAAAAAACTTTGAGAAAAAAAATAAAAAAATATATGTGTGTGTGTTTGCGGAAGCATAAAAAATCTGTGTATATCCCGCCGGTGGGTTTAATTTTCTAACCCACCGGCAGTGTGAGAATTTTTGTATATGATCCCAAGATCTCACCTAAGCTGTGATACCATGTCAGATAATGTAAACTCCTTGATCAGAGTGATTTCCATTGATCAATATTTATAGGGTTATAATGAGAAACCTAATCATATTAGGTAACATAAGATATGTATAGATATCAAAGATATCTTATACAAAATATATCCTAAACCTAAGATGAGAATATTATATGGATATTCTCTATCAAGTAATTCAATTGTGGATTGAACACTATAATGTTTTAATCTTCTTTTGACTTCTTTTCCTTTTACTTCCTTCCCCTAATTCTTATTATTTTTGAATTCCTAACCCATCTAATTGATCGTTATACTTTACACAATTTTAAAGGCACCGTCAATAATCGAGGAGGGAGGAAGGGGGCGGAATTTCCAATTATACCATAAGTACATACAATGAATTCGCTTTTATAAACATCGTGCAAACATATATCAGCATCACAAATTATTGACCTAACTATAATCTATATTATACAAGTACATGTTTTCCATTTTATAGTGATTATTATTGTAGTTCTAAGTTCCT